ATGAACTTTCTCGGCCAATGCAGGGATCGAACACCCGACCTCCAGGCTCCCGAGAGATGGATAGAGAACAAGCTAAAAAGAAAGTGATTTTTAGTACAATCAGGGGCCATAATTCAGGAAGTTACGGTCCGATATGCGCTAATATCGAAAGGAACCATGATCTTTGGTTTATAAACTTACATTTTAAGTTTCAACAGAATCGGATAAAAATTGTGACCTCTATAGGGTCCACAACCTTGGTATACCATATTTTTACGCTATTTGAGAACGAGGGGCGGCCATTTCGTCTGTCAGTTTTGGACCGATTTTCACAAAATTCGAACTCAGCTGACCTTATTGGGTCCACAAGAAAAAAACGCAATTTTTCTTACAATCAGGAGCCATAATTCAGGAAGTTATGGTCCGATATGCGTGAATATTGAAAGGAACCGAGATCTTTGGGTTATAAACTTACATTTCAAGTTGCATCAAAATAGGATTAAAATTGTGACCTTTATAGGGTCCACAACCTTGACCTACCATATTTTTACGCTATTTGAGAACGAAGGGCGGCCATTTTGTCTGTCAGTTTTGAGATGATTTTCACGAAATTCGAACACAGCCGTCCTTAGGGTGTAACGGTGATATAATAATACATTTTTTTTAATCGGATAAAAATTATGACCTCTATAGGGTCCACAAGCTAAAAACATGATTTTTCGTACAATCAGGGGCCATAATTCAGGAAGTTACAGTCCGATATGCGCGAATATTGAAAGGACCCAAGATCTTTGGGTTATAAACTTACATTTCAAGTTTCAACAAAAACGGATAAAAATTGTGACCTCTATAGGGTCCACAACCTTGATATACCATATTTTAACGCTATTTGAGAATGAGGAGCGGCCATTTTGTCTGTCAGTTTTGGGCTGATTTTCACGAAATTCGAACTCAGCTGTCCTTAGGGTGTAACGGTGATATAATAATACGTTTTTTTAAATCGGATAAAAATTATGACCTCTATAGGGTCCACAAGCTTAAAATGCAATTTTTTGTACAATCAAGAGCCATAATTCAGGAAGTTACGGTCCAATATGCGCGAATACCGAAAGGAACCAAGATCTTTGGGTTATAAACTTATATTTCAAGTTTAAACTAAATCGGATAAAAATTGTGACCTCTACAGTGTTCACAAGCCAAAAACGTGATTTTTCGTACAATCAGGGGCCATAATCCATGAAGTTACAGTCCGATACATGCCAATATCGAAAGGAACCGAGATCTTAGGGTGATAAACCTATATTTCAAGTTTCATTGAAATCGGATAAAAATTGTGACCTGTAGACTGTTCACAAACAATTGTGGACGGACGGACGGACAGGGGCGACGACAATATACGTCCACATGAAAATGTGGGCTTATAAAAGTGTACACATAATCAATAATGTGGTGTGTCTATATAGGCCTAAAGTGAATTTTTGAAGTAATATTTACAAGATGTAAGCTTATCCATTGAAATTGCAGTATGATTCCACTTAAATGACACCAGCATCAAAAATCAAAACATGCTATTTCATATCAGAGTTTTTTAATGAACCTCAACAAATTTGTGTCATGAACTTAAATGATGAATATTTAGGCCTACCCTGAAATTACGCCTTAATATGACTAGCAAGACAAAACAATAGGCCAAGTAACATGAAAAATGGGAGTAACACTTTTCTATCTTTGTATGATCTGTATTAATGTCCCTTGTGAACTTTTAATTTGATAATAAAATAAAATTATTAGAGTAGTTAACAAGCTGGCATATTTACCTGTCAACAATTTGTCTGCCTTTTTATTGCTGAGCTCTTGTTAATTTTGATGTCATTTTCGCGGAAAACTGTAATCGGAGCTGATTGGTCAAAGCCTTATTGTGGGCGGAGTCAACGGAAAGGTCAATTGTAACCTGTGCTATGAGTCGCAATGAGGAAATTGAGTTATTGTTATTTTCATATTCTCATCTCAATACCTTCAAAATGATGTATTGTTGGTTTAAATCGGGCAATAATTGACTGAGCTGTGTCCATTTGATACGGCCCAAGTCAAGTTTTGAGAAAAAGCAAGTTAAAGATGTTGGTATGTTTCTAAACAAAATCACATAGCAACCATGCCATTTATTTACTATTTTGTTGTTTAATATTTTTTCTTTAGGCTTTCAGGGGTTGTGAAGATGAAAATCGTAAAAATTAGCATCTTAGTGCCATGGGCGTGGATTTAGGGGGGGACGGCAGGATAGATTTTCAGGTTTATGTCCACATGATGGTGAGCTTGTTTCTACGTATCTGGAACTGAATCAGAACTTCGAACAAGAATTGACATTCTTCAAGCGCCAGTTTTCGGCCAAACCTATTTCACTTGTGCACGAAGCGTTCCTCATTATGTCACCTGAATTGAGGCAGATGTTCCCTTCTGTTGAAGCTCTTCCCATCTCACACTGCTGAACCCTGCTAGTTCCTGCTCAGCCGAGCAATCCTTCAGCACTCTGCGCAACTCCATGACGCAAAACCGACTGAACCACTTTAGGGCATGTGCGGTGCATAATGCCCCCCTTCATGTCGCCAAGATATTCAAAGAGAACAGTCCAGATTCACTTAACTTCATATATTTATGCAGCTTTGATGTAGGAAGTCAATTTTTCCATATTGTCATCATATTACCCCTCGTTACAGCCTTCATCGAAATAACACTGGTACAGTAAATTGTTCATAATTATTTGTTTCGTTTGGTAATGACTATGTTCCAGGGTTCGTCCGTCCCCCCCAAAAGTTGATTGTTGATTGGGTAATCAAGTTTAGTTTCTTGATCATCAAGAAGCTGCCGTAACTGTAAGTGTGTTCTGTTAACTTCATCACACAACAATTAAAATACGGTTTTACGTGTACAATATGTTTATTGTTATTTTCAGGTACCATAATAGTATCAAAATATGAATCCCTGATATAATGATAGAGATTTCAATTTCATTAGTAAGAAATGCCTATGTTCACTTTCGTGCATTTTGGTGGCGGTATAATGAAACAAATAATGGCGGACTGTTTTTCTCACGAGAATCGTCCCTTATCGACTCCTTGCTTGTTCTTATTTTTCTGACCCATGATGATAATAGAATTTGAAACATGAAAGCCAATTATACATTCCGGTATACTTTGCATGCCGTATGAAGCGACAGTAAACAGAATTCAGCTATCAATAAAATTCTCTTTGAAAAGAAAATTATTGGCCATTTTGTTTACTTCCATTTAGACCTATAAATTATTTTTTGTAAGACGAAACGAGATATCAAATAATCACCGCTTGGATTAATGATTTGTCGACGGCCTTATCATTGGTAAATTATCAATCAACTATTGATCTAATCATTAATCAGTGACAATTGATTAGTATTATTCAATGACACGATCTGCTTGCTGTTTAATTTACAGTATTCCGCCATGTGGTTTTGATTAACACTCAACGGCAATCTATATACCATCAGAATTAAGTTTTTTGCTGCCAATTCTAAGAGAATCGCATGTACCCCAAAGCATTATCACCAAAATCAAATTTCTATAGTCAGCCTCGAGCCACCATGATACCACGATGCTTTGCACGGGGTGTCTGGGTCAATCAGCAAACTTGTTGTGTGGACAGCAAAGCAATAAGTGGAGTTTGTGTTGAAAAAAGACGATCTTGGCATGGTTTGACTCTCCATATGAATTCCAGTTATCGGTAGATATTAAAATAATAACTGGATCATACATTGATGAATTCACTGACCAGTTGTTAGGTAACTTTAAATCTTCATTGAATATAATCCGCTTGTTTAGAACATAGAATACACCGAGAAAAAGTCATTAATATTTTCCTGACAGAATCTCCAATGCCGAATTCCGATGACACGTGATATCTGTTGGAATCAGGTCAATCACACTCTTTAGGACACAATAACTTTCCTTCTAATTAATTGAGCTAGAATGTTCAAACTTTGTGTAGGTGTTTATTAGGTGTATGCCTTGATAAAGTTTGAAAATGACCATATTCTGCTTCGGGTAAGAAGAGATAAGCAATTGGATTGGTGGATGCTTTGGGACACGATAACTTTAGTTCTAATTAAGCATTTTCTTCACAGGGTTAGCAGAGTGATAAGCAATTTGATTGGTCGAGACGTTGAAACATAATAACTCTTCTTTGAAGATGCAGTTGAAAGATGAGCATTTTCATTTTCTGCTCGGGGTAAGCAGAGCGATAAGCAATTTGATTGGTTGAGACTTTGGAGCTCGACAACTTTGATTGTCTATTAAGTCACAACCATAACAAAGTTCGATGCTGAGCATTTTCTGCTTAAACAAAGTAGAGACTTCAATCTGATTGGTCGAGACTTTGGAACACAATAACTCTCCTAATTGAGGCAGAATGTTCAAAATTGGTGAATGCCTTGACAGAGTTCGATCATGCGCATTTTCCACTAAGCAGAGATAAGCAATTTGATTGGTTGAGAGAGGTGAATTGGGTGAGAACGGTGAAACTCTTGAGTATAGATTCATTTCATCCATACATGGACTAAGGGGTTGACAGGTCTGACAACATATAAATTTCAAAATGATCAGATAATAAATGTAGTCTGTAGAGTGTTCATAAAAATTGTGGATGATGGACAGACCGGTGGCAATATATGACCAAATTTCCATGTGGGTGCATAAAAACTTACATCCTCAGAGAACACAACAACTCAACAAGTTGGTTTTGTGATACCCATGCCCATGACTTTGTTTTTAATCACTCTTCCTAATCTTTCAGAAATGGTCACTAAACTCTTACAAGCTGTGGAACCCAAATAAAGAATTCAAGCCTATTGTTTACATAGATAATTTACCGGTAGACTCAGTTATCCAATATCCACACACTATTACATTAGAAAAACTGCCAGTCCAGACAGTTGCCTTCTGCTTTCGAGTGAGTTTTACTAACTCAATATATAAAGCAAAAGTACAACCTACCTGAATTAAAGGTTCAAAGTCTCCATAAAGAAGGTAATCAACATCTGGTTTAGCCAATAAATATATAAACCTTGACGCTGTATCATGGCGACCATCACAAACTCTGAAAAAATGGAATAAACACAAAAAATAGAATAATTATATCACAAGTAAACATATACCTTACTTATAATGATAGATATTTTGTCAATCAGTAAATTCAATGCATAGGCCTAGTTTCTATAGCGTTTCCAGAAAGTGAAATCAATCCAGTTTCTGTTTATTCTCTAACATCACCCAATCCAGTTTCTGTTTATTCTCCAACATCACCCAATGAATGTTTTCCAGAAGGTGCCAATAATGATCCTGTTTCTGCTATAAGTTAATTGTGTAAATCCTATCGTAACTGTGAAATTTAGCGATTTAAAAAAATAAATAGGCTACACTGTTATTTGTTTAAATGTGTGATACAAAAATGCTGATGCTTTTAAAGTGAGAGTTTATATGTAACTTTATTTTAAATAACCAAATTAAGTTGCCAATTGTTCATATTTTTATTACCTGTACCTATCAGAGCCTCGCATTCGGATTAGGCCTCTTTCATATTCAGCCTCACTTTCAGAAGAGTAAACAATAAAGTGGGGGACCCCTCGGGACTACATCTTATTGTTAATGCCATCCGGTGCGAATGTTCTTAAAGTGTGAATCCATTTGAATTCATTGGCTTTCCTTACATCATCGTTTTTGCCGTTATCTGGGTCAGTCTTAAAAAGCTCTATAATTTTAATCATAACATTTCTACTCGTATGTCCATCTAAGTTGAAGTGCGGAGCGACCGGCTTTGGCCTGTTGTGTCTAATATCTGCATAGTGTTCCTTTATTCGTTTTGAAAACGCATGTTTGAATTCTCCTACGTACGTATTGTTTTTTGCAGGAGCATATTAATAGGTAGACTATTTCTTGCCAGTTTTACCACTAATAAAGTAATTATTTTGGTCTAATTTGTAGCAGATATCACAGTCCTTCTTGATACATTTTTCGAATAGATTTTGAACCGTGACTCCGCTGGTTTGCAGGTCCCATGGTGGATAGATGAGTCTTGCTTTCATCAGCGTATCCTTTAAATTAGGATTCCTCCTAAATGCCGTGATTGGTTTGATGTTTGAGATGGAACGGCACATGTCCAATCCGGTTAATAGATGCCATTTCTCTTTTATGAGCATGCTAACTTGAACAGCAGTTGGATTATAATCCGTGCCCACCGTCACTATATATAGAGGGCCACCGCACATCCTCATTTAAGCCTGAAGAGTTCAAATAAGAACGAAACTAGTAGCTGAGAGAAATCTGGGAAGGCTGTTCGCCTATTTACAGACTTTTTACTCACTTTCAGAAGTCATCTGCTAGTTTCAGGACAGCCGAAAAAAGGAGCTCAACATTTTTTCTCCTATCTTATACCCTAAGTTTCTTAACATGCCATCACATAGGGGGTGCCTACAAACGGACTAGGGGAACCAAGAACATCCAGTTGGCTGTTAATACGGACACTCCTACACCTAAAAATAACCGTTCCAGGACGGCATCAGCCAACAAGAATAGATACCATGGCTGCTGTGATTTGTCCTGTGACCCAAATCCAACTTCAGCTAAGAAACGAACCAGATACGAAAACACCTGAAAATTGGTCTTCTAACAAACTCTGTCAAGAATTACAAGAATTGGGGATGGTGTTACCTACTAATGTACTAAATAAGATACTTATTAAAGTGTACAAGCAACTAAAATATGGTACAGTAGAACTTGCTCGGGCGTGCACTCCTAATCAGCGAATACTTGCTTCAACGAGCACCAAAAAATCCCCCAGAGCGATTTTTAAGTAATTTAACCCCTACTCAACACGCACCTGTTCAACGCGTGCAACGGGCATCACGATTAATTTCCCCACCCCTGTAAAAATTCTACTGTTTCGACGGTCACTCCTCTAACGCGGCCAGCGGTCACTATTTTACTAATAAATGTAACAAAACATCGACCATTGAATGGCTATTGTTGAATGATACCATCTTGTCGTTCTTTTTTTGTAACACTCCTGCTAATCCCGTGAGTAGTAGTTAATTAACTGGACCCCCACTGATCAGGTAAAAAGAAATGTAAAAATAACAATCAACCTGGGAATATCTGTTTATTAATCTTTTGTTTTATTAAACGACTAACCTGATTATTGTTTTCACGCGTAACAACACATTATTTGATATTGATTAAATAAGATGAAAGTACCAAGTTTTGTCACGATCATCTAGTATCTCTTTTCCATTGCCACTTTGTTGTTAAACAGACGTTTTAGCATCCTCGGTTACCCAGTGTACTCATTCCGTTCTACTCCACTATACCCTGGGTTAATCTATGGGGGAGATACGTTTTCAAGTTATCCGCCCTTGATGATGGTGCTATTTTTATCGACCAATCCCATAAATTGTTACTTGAAAAGGAAGTTGGGAAAGGTAAGTAACTCTCATCTGACAATGTTAGGAGTTGGCCTATTCTAAATGCGTAATTATTAACAACCAATCATATATTATGTTAATGAAGACCAGACGTTCATATAACAAGGTAGGGTCATTAGTTTTATTTAGAATCGTTCGTTAGCTCCCGGGACTTTATGTCCACATGATATCGTAGACAAGTTATTGTGAATCAAATTGTCAAGTATAATTCAATAATAATAAACATAACAGAATGACATATTTCAGACAAAGAACGAATAGTGATAATAATAACAAAAGTCAAACATATAGATGTTATACATATTTGAAATCAACAACACATACTTCAGATTTTGATAATAAAATTAAATATAAATAAATTATAAATATATACATTAGTTTACATAAATCATTCAATAAATAGACATGAATATGGTTATCTACCCTTATAAAAACGAAGGCGAAACGATTGGTTTGTAAACTGTTTTCTGATTGGTTCGTAGACGGTAGCTACATTCTAGGCCAGGGCAGATAATTTGAAATCGTGGAAACCCTATGGATTAACCCAGGGTAACCGAGGATGACGTTTTAGCTGATATTCAAAACAAGCTGTCATCACATAACATCGAAGAACAAGCGGTGACACAAGAAATTGGAATACCTGTTGACGTCGATTAACATCAACATCACATCACTTACCAGCGTTCCTTAGCAGTAGGCATAGCAGCGTGCCTCCCCAGGTATGGGTTTGTCTAACCACAGAGTCCCCGTAGATAGTCTCCATAGCCTATTTTAATGTGCCTACAAGCACTGCTTTGAAAATATGAAATCTGTGCTTTGAAAAAATGCTATGTAGCCTTGTGAATCTGTCAAGATTGTTTGGGGAAACTTAGCTATCATTATGAACATCAACCACTTTCGATTTCTGTTTCAATAGTTGTGACATATTTCCACCACCAACTACAGCACGAAAATTACATAGCAGAACATTGTCAAGTGCAGGGGACAGTGAAGGTTTGTTTGCCTTTGGATCGACTTAGGATGTTTCTTTGGACTGTTGATGATTACTGACACACGGTTATAAATATAATTATATTAATTCTGTTATATTTTGGTTATAAAAGTAAGCGTGATATTGTATTATCGGAAGTCAAATTCTGGACATTTTCACGGAACCCCAAAACACCAGAAACCGTGCTTCCCCAATAAAACCTTACAAGAGCATCGCTAACGCTGCAATATACGTCCACATTCCAGCTTTGATTGATATGGTACTTTGTAAAATGAAGAGAATGAAATATGAAATGGCTGTAATATGACAAGAGGTAAAGAAGGCTAGGCGTTGGGTTTGTTTTGCCAAATTTACAGACAAAATATTAGCAAAAAAGTGGGTATGACACTGCCCCAGGAGGTCGGGGCATGCACCAAAATAAATAGTTGCTGTCTTTACGGTATAAGGAATAAATATGCAAAGTTCCAAGATGATCCATTCAGAATTGCACCCTGTAGATGATCAATACAAAAATCGGGTGTGGCTCTGCCCCTGGGTGTTGAATATGGAACAATTTAAATAGGCCTCACCCTGTTATTGAAATGCTGTCCTTAGGGTATAAGGAATAAGTACACCAAGTTCCAAGATAATCCATTCAGTTTTGTGGCCTTTGCCCCTGGGGGTCAGGGCATTCACCAAAATCAATAGTTGACACCCTTAGGCTATAAGGAATACATATGCCAAGTACCAAGTTGATCCATTCAGAATTGCGGCCTGTAAACGATAAACACAAAAATTGGGCGTGGCTCTGCTCCTGGGGGTCTGGACATGCAGTTGTCATCCTTAGGGTATAAGGAATAGGTATGCAACGTTTCAAAACGATCTGTTAAGAATTGTGGCCTGTAGGCGAAACACAAGACACACAAACATCCAGGCTAGCGAGCCAGCGTCTTACCCACTTAGCCACGTGATTCCCTATTATTTATGGGAATCCGGATCTCCAATATGTGATCCCAAAATTTACATTGAGGCAGTAACATAATTCATCATTAGCATCACCATTAACATTATCATCATCATTATCAGTTTGTAATGGTCTGAAAATGATTGGAGAAGTAGAAGAAAGACTGGGGGTGGTGGGTGAGGGTACACGAGAAAATTATAAACTCTAGTTAACTCTATATTATTACAAGGAATTATTGGTAAATGAAACCAGAAGGACAGTGAAATGAAACGGAGGGAAGATGGGAGATCACAGCGAGTGTAGGTAGGTGGGGGAAATATTAGGATATTTAAAGTTAATATCTTAGAATAAAACCGTTTAAGATATTAACTTGAGCTTTTAAAGTACTAACATTTTCAAATTTCAACTTGAACTTAATCTTTTAAGATATTAACGTAAAATTTTAAGATATGAAATATACATTCTTACGAAAGTATTTATAGGGTAGTTATTTCCAATAGAAGTATGGCAAATTTGGTATATATGGAAGGTAGAGACGCCCAATCTTACTTTTAGAAAAATGCTGGATGGGGCAGGCACTGGGCAAGGATGTCTGGGTATTACTTACTGTCAGCCCGACGGCTTATTGTTTACCAGATTGACTTAGGAAGCTGTTATTATTTCTTAATCGAACAGTTAAGTGGTTT